AACAACATAACTTCCCATGTTGACATGAAAAAGAATAACTTCTCCCACTTCTCCTATTCAAATATCAACTTTTAATTCATGAATACATATCAATATAGTAAAACAAGTTCACTTTGCCTTCAGAGTTTCTCTTTTTAAAGGAGATTGGCAACAAAAATTGCTTCATCTATCTTATTGCTTCATCGGAAAGAGCATGAAAAAATAAGCCGATTGGCCGTTTAATGCTCTATTCTATCTCATCTAGTTCCGAAGTTATACGCAAAAATGTGAAAATATAAATTGCTGATTCAGCACAACGTGTGACGTCATTAGCTGGGTAAGTATGTTTATTGAATACTACACTGAAGCATAGCTCAGTTATTATGGGCCCAAATCAAATGAAATTTTGCATACTGATTGTACATGATGAGACGCATGGAAAAACACTTCTAATTTTGTTGCCAAGGTAACAATGTCGTTTCCAGGCCCCTTGCGCCAATTTTATGAAACAGCTTTATTCAAGGTACTGATAAGAATAAAATAATATCAGAAGTATGTGTATGATACCTATGCATGCCAAAAGTTTACTTGCATGATAATAATTCGAAAATGACATACACATAGATAAATGCAACTAGTTATTCAAAATCAGTGTAAGAGGCCTGGGAACGACTGTGTTGCCTTGACAACGAAATTAGAAGTATTTTTCCCATGCATCTCATCATGTACTATCTGTATGCAAAATTTCATTTCATTTGAGCCAATAATAACTCAGCTATGCTTTAGTTTACTATTCAATAAACATACTTACCCAGTTTATGACGTCACAGAATGTGCTGAATCAGCAATTTATATTTTGCACATTTTTGCGTATAACTTCGGAACCAGATGAGATAGAATAGAGCAGTAAACGGCCAATCGGCTTATTTTTTCATGCTCCTTCAGATGAAGCAATAAAATCAATAAAATTTTTTGTTGCCAATACCCTTTAAGTCGTATAAAATTTGTATTACCCACCTGGCCAGTGGGCAACCTTTTCACAAAATTATTTATGCCATGGCACGCATCAGAGCGACCGCCTTCGGCAGGCTAGATCAAGCAGATTAAAGGGAAAAAACTAAATCTCACTCATTTTCATGCCACAAAGTTGGAAGGTCTGGGAGAATCTATTCTCTTTGCCAATACAGGCCAGATTGGAAATGATTGTGGGCAAAACACCTCGTCCAGGATCAATAGAAGTGCCGGTTTGCATTGAATTTGGGTGTCATAGCCGCATGACATGAATTATTAAAAAAACTGAGTCTTTTGTAGTTTCTACTTTTGATGTATGCTTTTTAAGGTCCTTTTTGTTAGCTGCAATTTGATTGGTTCATTTTGCATGTACATGGCAACCCCTTTTTTCATAGCAACTTTGCGGTCATTCGCAAAGCTGTGGCTGTAAACATAGCATTGAAAATCTTTGTTATTTCTGATTATTTAGTCGAAATTTACTATTCTTTGTTGAATGTTAGTATCGTTTTGTTATTTTGTTTGTGATTATCGATAAAAATTTTGGAAATAATCGAAATAGAAAGAGAAAAAAGGCAAGAAATTCACCATCAAAGAAGGCCACAAAATTCAAGATGGCGGCAACCATATGTTGATCAAAAGTCAAAACCCTAGGCCATCTAAGATGAAAATAGACAATGTAAGTGTAAAGTTTGGCTAGAATCCTGGTCATACTGACTCTGTTAAAGAAGGTACTATATTTATGGACTTGTTAGTTCTGTTTGGCGTTTTTAATCAAGTCCTGAAATCATTGCCTTGAGTGTGGGAACAACATAACTTCCCATGGTGACATGAAAAAGAATAACTTCTCCCATTACATTGTCCTGCAATGTTATAAAATGGAGTGTGGATGGAAATACTGCTTCCATACTTAATAAAAACAAGGGGCCATCATATGGAATTAATATGAGAGCAGTCCTTGGCCTCCTGGCATTCAGAGAAATTGGTTGAGGCCATAATGCTATGGTAACATTCAAGTCATGAACATGTCATCACGGCATCACCACAAACCAGCCAAAAAGTATTTTGTAAAGACAAAAATGTTAAACAAGCTGCTGCCTGTTGTGAAACAGTTGGCAAATGACAGAATGCTAAACAATGCCATGATTGTTAAAGAGACTTGTAGAAATGACAAAGGCGAATGTGTAATTTCCCTTGATGGAACTTGGCAAAGACAAGACCATGTGTTGCACAATGGTGTTGTTTCTGCCATCTCGTTAGATACCAAGAAATGCCTGAATGTTGAAATACTCTCAGATAAATGTCAGAAATGGTAAAAGAAAGAAAACAACCCAAAATATCAAGCGTGGAATGCTAGTAGGCACTGTAAGATGTGCCAATAGTATATGATGAATTACAAATTACATTCTTGCCAAAACAAAAGCAGAGAAACAATTAAAAGTAGATGAAAAACAATAGGGCATCTGAGAAAAATGTATGTAGATGAGGCTGAAGAGAAAGTAGGTGTTATGTATGAAAGTAGGGGCCTTCTGAAGCTTTATGAGGTACATTAACAGTAAACAAAACTTTTAAAGTGGATTTTCTCTTTTTGGCAATTTGACGTGTGTCGATCAGCAATATTTGTGACATTGTAATTTTCTAGATTTTTATTATAGAAGCTTGATATTTTGCACATTTATAGCCTGTACCATTCTCTAGTGCCTGCCACTCTTCAAATTTCATTTTTTTTATTATTAATGAATTATTCACAAATTGCATCATAAATATCTCAATTAAAAGTACAAATGCAAAAATTCCAATTTTTGGCTCCAAAATTTTTATTAACTTTAAGTGGCAGTGTACAAATAGAAAAGTGCACGAATTTTTTGCAGTCTGGGTCTAGTTTCTTCTTTTACCCACAATGCAATACAGCCCACGTTCACACGTTGTTGCCTTTGTGGTAATGGCGAATATTTTTACCGAAGTGGCTTTTAGACAGAGAAAATTATGACCAAATCACAGTGATTTAGGTAAGTTTTAAAGCTTTAAATTTGTCACAATGTTCTACCTTTGTAAAGCACTCGAGGGTATAAGTTTTAGTAAATAATATTTTGACATAAGGCAGTCTTTTCATATCGTATTTGTCTGTTTGTATAAATTTGTTTGTGTGTATTGAATAATTTCATAAAGGTATTTGTAGCATATCTGCTACATTGCCACGAAGTGGTCACTGAAGCTCAGATTACATGAACATTATATTTTTGATAAAAGACACTACATGTGCTGTATTTACTGCAATTTCCTTTGACTATAGTTAACAACAAGTAAATATTTCTGTTTGTCTTCAATATTGGGCCTCTTGGCTCAGTTGGCAGCAGGTTAAAGTTTTATAGTGTTTATATGTATATATACTCATACTGTGTATATACTATGTACTAGTAAAACTATTGTAAGCTTGATTTTATCCCTTTTCATCATGTTCATGAGCTTCAGTGCTGCAGTGGTCAGATCCATATTAAGTTCTCACTTCTGAATATACTGCGCTCGATTCTCGGCTGCGAACTCTATGACTTTCTCATGTGAAAATAAACAAGTGAACGCTCTGCCAGAAGTTATAGGTTTTATCCCGATACTAGGTTTCGGCATGTTCACTTAAACATGGAAAGTTGACACTAAAGCACTATTGCAATTCATGTTACAAATATATAGCTATAGTGTAGTAGAGAGTGAGCTGAATATTTATGTATTTGTAGAAAATGCCACGAAAAAATTCTAAAAAAGTCTGTTTTGAGGATGTTTTTGAAAGCATCTTGAGCGGAAATGATTCTGAAGTAGAAAACTTAAGCTCTGATGAAGAGGTTGATGATACTGATTATGTTGTATCCGATAATCATGATGGTAGTGATGGTGACAGTAGTGATGATGACAATAGTGATGATAACGATATTGACAATGTCAAAAGTGGTGAACATGGTGACGGTGCAGATCCAGCAACCCAACCGAAACAAAAGAAAACATTATCCGGCAATATAACCCCAAAAAGCCAGTGAAGTGGGGGTTTAAAAATTTGGTATGTGCTGGTGCTTCTGGTTTCATGTATGGCTTTTACATTTATGCCGGGAAGGATGAAGACATGGACAATGTTGACTTCAAGGACTTGCAGATATCTGCCCAAGTTGTTGCGCGCCTTTTTCAACATTTGCCATCCCACAGTGGTCATCAATTGTTCTTTGACAACTGGTTCACAACATTGGACTTGCTAATGTACCTAAATAATAAAGGTATACTAGAATGTGGTACAGTGCATGCCAACCGCCTTCAAGGATGTCCATTGCAACCTAACAAGGACTTCAATAAAGCAGGACGTGGCACCATGGACTTCAAGTCTGATCCCGGGTCGGGAATAATTGTAGTAAAATGGTTAGACAACAACATTGTCCACATTACCTCAAATTATATGGGTGTGGAGCCATTGGGTTCAGTACAAAGGGTGGTCCCAAAAAGACAGGAAAAGGATGAGCATCCAGTGCCCACAGCTGATCTTGCACTACAATAAAGGGATGGGAGGTGTTGATAAGGCTGACATGCTCTCATTGTACAGAATCAATTTCAAGACCAGAAGGTGGTACATCAAAATCTTCTGGCACCTTGTCAACATAGCAAAGGTTTAATGACAATCATCTGCAAGAAGCTGCCTTATCTTAGCAATGTGATTGATACAAACAAGCTGGATATGGAATGGAGATTACATGCATTGGAAGAGAAAACCAGCGATGATCTTCTCTTCAACGAGTACTGGTTAGCCATACTAGTACCAAAACACCAACAGGTGAGATAATAACGTTGATAAGGGATTCATGACGCCTGATATGGTAACATATCCATTTAGGATCCTTGTTAACTGATATGATCCTGTTATTTGCCTTACGGCTGCCCAGTGATATGGATTTTGGGGTGTGCTTTGTGCCATTAGAACATACATATGATGTCTTTTGCAATGGACATTATTTTCAAATACTTCTTCTCAGAAAGACTTAAATAATACATCTGTAGTAAAACCAAGAAGCCATGACAGAAATACTTATATCAGAAGGAGAAGGCGGCCAATTGTCATAAAATGGTTTACATCCTTTAATTTTATCATTAAGAAACATTGCAGCATGAAAGAGATTCCTACTAGTACTATAGGACTCATCATCAAAACCAGTTATTGTGCTGCTTGCTTCAGGAGTAATTTCATCAGCACTGCTGTCAGATTCAATGTCACAAAAATCGGTACCTGCATCTTTACAAATGCTCTCTTCTGCAATTTCACCCACACTAATGTTTTCACTAAACACTAGTTCGCCCAGAACTCGCCTAGAAAGCATCTTTAAACGGTATATACATTATAATTTGACACATCACACTTTTCTTCACGATCTACAATGTTTACAAACTCATTAAACATGAATGTCTTTCGTAATATTTCATTGTTTTCTAAAAGTCTTTTCCACAACCTCCTTGCAGAAGATTTCTCATACAGAACATCTGTGTTAGATTAAAAAGTTTGTATGTCATATAACAGTTCTTGTGATAGAATACCTCTATCACCACCCAATCTTTGTCTCTTATATGTATTAGAATAGAATCGTCCCTTTTTATTTCTGCTGCTCTTCTTATCTTCCCAGCATCACAAGTCTGACTTTGACTTAGTTTTTGAATTTTTCGTTTCTTTGTGTTCTGTTAAAATTAAAAAATAACTGTGTTCTAGACAAACTACAAATATTGTTTATGAATTATGGATTTATATTGTAGAGACAATATATATATATATATAATTGTAAAAAAATATCACTCCCACATTTTACTTACTGGGCATGTATGTGTGAGGTCTTCTTTCTTGTGTACTAGACAAATTCTTGGAAGAACATGAATTGATCTACTTTGACCGGACTCAAATTGTCTTTGTTGCAACTGGTTACTTATACTAACGTTAGCAATCTTCTTTGCCACAGGTTCGCTTCCAGAATCATTTTGATTTAAACACTGGCAGTGGTGTAGCCAGCAAAATATGACTAGTCCTGCTCTAAGACCCACACATTCTAGGAGGGTCTGGCGGCATGGTCCCCTGGAAAATTTTGAATTCTGGAATGGCCATTTCGTGCGAAACACTCCAAAGGGAACATCAAAAAATTGTGTGATTGTAACTTTTTGAAATCCATTCATTTTTATCATATTTGACTATATATTTTTCAGCTAAATATAGTCAAGTCACGAAAGACCAAAATATCATGTATACAATACGTGTCTGTAATACGATCTTTCACTTGATCAACACATAATCAACAATTGCATAACTATTGTACTGTTTTATGCACTATAAGTGCTATAAGTATAACGCTACAGCTAGCATTCGTTAAGGTAATTCCGCAGTAATTGTTCCCGAAATGATAATTTGCTGAAACTTCCCAGGCATGGAGTTTATGATATACTAGTAAAATCGCACAAAAAAGACGGGGTCGCCAAACTCGTTAAGAAGATATGACAATCACAATATACCACCTTTACCCCCAATATGGCACCATCTTGACGCTCATTACGTGTAAAAGCAAAATCACAACAGCCCGATATTTAGCGCAGATTTTGCTTTAGTAAACCTATCTTGTAATTATTTTTGAAAAAATATTGTGTTTTGAGCAAAATGAAACTACTAACATGTACAATTCTAATCCATAAATGTCTTTTCCAAATTTCTTTACATATCTTTCTTTGAGAACATGCAATTGATAAAGGATTTTTTTCAAGATCCAGAAATGATTTTTCTTTCAATTTCGGATATGAAATGTAAAATGCATTAAAGAAATAAATTATTAGTTAAAAAACGGGGGTCACCGATCTTTTTAGGGAATTGTGGCATTACAATGTGAAATACAAGTAAATAAATATACTACATACACAGGGAACCCTAGCTACACTTTTGTATTCCTTTTTTGAAAACATTGATTTTAACGTAATTCTGTGCACGAATGTAACCAAAGATGTTTTGAAGTAACATAAAATTGTCATAAAATGATTTTTTTAGTAAACAGTACATATAATGGACGAAATTATCAGTTATACGATGTGCGCAGTAAAAGTGCGCAATGCAAAACTGCAGAATTACCTTAAAAATTCACTACGTTTGTTAGGAATGTGTTAAACTTTATATAATGGAGTGGTATCAACTACAGACCTCTACGCCTGGTAGTCTGAATGTAATTCAGTACGCTATGCCTATGGTATTAAATTAATATAGCGTTTAAAATAATGCAGCCAGATACCTACATAAACAGTGTGAATCTAAGGCTAAATTGGTACAGTATATCCTTTTTTAAACTCCGTAAGTGTGTGTTGCTTGTGTTTCAATGCATAAAGCAGATAAACTGGCAGTAAATATTACATTCTTACATTATATCAATACGACAGGGCTTCACAATTGAGGTTTGTCTTCCCCATTATATTGTATTCTACACAATCGTCAGTCGAGTCTGTTTACATGCATTTTGTGAGCTAAAATATCTTAGCAGAAGCCAGATATTATATCAAAATCACATTGGGCTCCACACTCGTTGATTTGCATATTCATAACTTCAGTAGTCTCAACAGAATTAGTAAAAAGTGGGTTTAGTCATGCGGAAAGCTTGCAAGTAAAGACAATACAAGGCCAAGTCCTGCCATTTCGAGGGAGCAGGACTTCGCATTTGTAAACAGTCGGTTTGAGCATGCGCAGACCTAATTATCCAATCAGAAAGCAAGATTTCTTGTATGAATTTACTATGAAATATACTAGCAAGTCCTGCCATTTGAAAATGGCAGGACTGAAACACAAGTGTGTGTAAATCAATGTAGAGTTGCAGTTGCTAGGTAACAGACACAGCAAGCTGTAAAAATTGCGTAAATATAACATAATGTGAAAAACGTTTTAAGAAATAATAACCAAAAAGACGAGAAAATGAGACAAAATAAGAATATGATGATGAATTTTTAAAGCTTCAAGATAAATAAAGCAATGTTTTAGTAAGGAAATTTGGTGAAATTTTTAGTCCCGCTGGGCAGGACAAGCAGGACTGCTAGCTACGCCACTGAACACTGGGCTCTTCTCTTTCAATCTTCATTTTGTCTATAAATTTTCCATAGCAGTCCATATGATATTGTGGAATTTGCTCCCTTGTGTTGTTAAATTCACATTCACCAGTCTTGTCAAACATATATTCATCGGTTTCGGTAATATGTCCTTTTTCTCACTGTTGTGTTTTATTGATATTTATTCTAACTATAAATCGAAGCATGTGGTCGTCTCCATCGCTTGCTTTCTCAATCCCATGTGTCTGTTCACATGACTACTTGTCCTAGTGACGTAATCACTACATCACTCTTTTTTTTAACAAAACTAAACGAAACATGAAATACCTATAAATGTAACTTGTTCATAATGTTAAGTTATTATCGAAGAATGTACAGGTTGCCCATAATGTTCTGTGGGCATGCGATGCGATTTCTGGTTGACCTTCTTAGCCGATGTTGGTTATCCCCCTCGTTGTGTCCCTACAGCATTTCCTCTTGTAATTCTAACAACTGGCATGCCACCATCTTCTGCTGCCATCTCCTTTGGGATTTTCCTGAAAAATGAGGAATTTCTGGTGATCTTTGTTCTTGGCTACGACCTTGGATCCCTTAATGGCAATTACTGTATATGGTTCAGGTTAACTCCTTTTCGACCGGCTCCTAGAAAACTATTCCAGAATCGGAATAGTAATTCTCAAGGTTCATATCTTTGTTTCAGTTAATGCTATTTAGATGAAAATACCGCCATTCAATTCAGTGTAAAATTCTCTACTAATTCCTAATGATAGTTTTAGTCCATGTCAACTTTATAGTGATTTATGAGCTTTGAAAGTCAAGCGAGATTGTATATTATCAAATTACACAATTGTCTGAACAAAAATACAGACTAGCCATACCTTTCGCCAAACATAACTTCGGCTCCTTCGGACGTGTCTTCTTTGTAATTGTCTTGTTAAAATCAATGTCAACAGCCGTATTTCGGGAGTCATTTGCAAGTCTGTATCTTCGAATTTGACAAAAGTACACAGCATATTTCCATTTCTGGCCCAATTGTGCATTTAATCTGAACCGGAAATAAATTTTAAAACGTCAAAACAATGCGAGGATTGTATCGTATGACTCTGGAAATGCCAGTCGATTCTAAAGGTCAAAGTGCACCTATACGTGTGAGTTTGACGTCATCCTGGCTAAAGGAGCTCCTTATTGGCCAAGTATTATGCAATACACATGCATGCGAGTAAAACCTGATATCTTGAAAAATTCAAAATAAACATTTCTACTCACCATATCCAAACGAAACTTTCTACATGAAAGCGCATGAATACAAAGAGTATTTTACTCATATAGCCGATGTGAAGCAATGAAAAGTTTAGAAGATATTCTACTTTTTCTTTATATGAAATACAGAAGGTTTGGCCAAGCCATGAGTAAATATATGATTGTTTCAGTTTGTCTAATGTTTTGACAGCATTCGACCCCCCGTTCGAAAGGTTATTTTGTGAGGATTCCAATGGTGGTGTTAGTTTCAGAGGGGGGTAAATACTCGCAGAAATATTTACATGCAAACATTGACTCATATTATGTAATACAATACCGTCAATCGATAAAGAGTTAAAAGTTATTAGCCAATTTGTTATGCCTTTGCTGCTTTACCAAAACCAAATCACCAATCCTAATGGTGCTCGACCGAGCATGGTGTCTATTATCAGCATATTGCTTGGCCTTAGCTCTCTGTTCTCCTTGGTTTGTTTGTGCTTCATTATGTCGTTTGACTACTAGGCTGGATGCAATTGTTGACAATTGTTGAATGTGGAGTTTGCCGATAACTGAATAGAAATTTGGAGAGTTCCTGCTGCCAAGGTCGCTTTTCTAAATGTGCAGACCTTATGAGCTTGCCAAGGGGTTTCATGAATGCTTCAGGCGCTGCATTTCGTTGAGGCCATAAAGGTGTGGATGTCGAATGTTTTATACCCATGGTAGTCATGTACTGATTAAATTCATGCCCCTGGAAGAGAGGTCCATTATCTGAAACAAGTTGTGCAGATATGCCATGCCTAGCAAATATGGAATCCAGTTTGGGAATAACTTTTTTAGATGAAATGGACTTCAGAATTTCAACTCCTGGAAAGTGTGAATAGCAGTCAATTACTACAACTGCATAGTGTCGTGATGGGAGAGGCCCATAAAAATCGACCTTAACTTTCTCCCACGGATGATCTGGCATGGGTGGTGATTGTATAGGTTCTGGTGGATTAGGGTGTGAATTTGCTTGGCGTGCCAAACA